GGGCAGGGCTTATAGATGATAAATCCAGGACACTTAATACAGAGGTCAGATGACCTCTATCCAGATGGTCACCTTCAATCAGCTCCATCAGTAAGTCAACTGACTCTAAGGAGACCTATGCATGCACACACTTAACACCCACTCACCCACCTGTGAAGCAGCACGATAACTGGATGTCTACGAAGGCACCCAAGTCCAGAATCCTTCATCCGTGTGAGATACTTCTACCCTCAGCCCCTAACATGGCTTTCATCTGTCTTATCTGTCCTTCAGATGAGATGTTTAAATGCCGGGTGCCTGTTCAGGTGGAGGTTAAAGATCCCAAGGGGTCATTCAAAAACAGAAGGGAGTTTCTCTCTCCTGGTGTCCTGGCCAACAATCCCCCCAAAATAAAATTGGTCACCCATGCCATAGCTGTTTGTGGGACATTGCTGTGCGCAATTGCCCCCCCCATTTCACCCACAGAAGACACAGTCAATTCACTGGACAGTATATTCTGTGAAACACTTTGAGACATCTCGACAACGTGATAAGGTGCTAAATTAGCAAGGATTATTATTATTATATTCAGTTGTAATTTAGGCTATTCACTTAGTCACCAATGCACCCATTTGTGGAAAAGCAACTTAACTCCAATTGCCATCCAGTGATACTCCAATGCAGTACTGCCTGGGGATGAGCTGCAATATTTATTATACTGTACAATCTTGTGGAACGATTTGAGCCATACTGACAATGTGATAAGGCGCTGTATCAAATGTAAGGATGTTATTAAGTGAAAGGTGCTGTAGATGTGCATATTGTTGTTGTTGTTCTTGGACCAGGTGGAATTTGGAGGAAAAGTCTTGCATTTAGCCCTGAGAATGTAATAATAATAATCTTTGCATTTGATATAGCGCCTTATCACATTGTTGAGACGTCTCAAAGTGCTTCACAGAATATACTGTGAAGTCAATTGACTATATTTGTGGGTGAAACGCTACAGCCAATTGCACATAGCAGTGTCCCATTCGTGGATTGAGTAACTGCATTTTTTTTGAGGGATTATTACCCCTGGAAAGTAATCCACCAATTGATTAACAACCGGGTTCCTACTTACTGCTAGGTAAGCAGAGGCGTGTGGAGTAAGGAAACCTGCCTAAGATTTCGCCCCACCTAGAAATCGAACCTGGTTCCTCTCGCTTGCAAGGCGAGCACTCCAATCACTACGCTACGGGACTATGGTATCAGAACTTGGTTTAATTCCAGAGGTAGCTCTCCCTCATCCACTTTTACTGCGATACGCCCGGTGAGAAAATGAATCGTATAATGACATTTTAAACCACGTCTGCGTGCTTTGTAAAATTGATTAAAGGATCATGTAGGAGGCATAAAGCAGGCGATGAAGTAACCGTGTACATAATCTTCCCTGTAATCATAATGGAGTGGAATAGCTGGCGATTAAAATATATACATCTATCAAAGCGTTTGCTTAAATTGTCAGTAATTTACTGCAATAAACGACCAGAGGCTGGATTTCCACCTGATCTTAGTCTGGGAGAGATCACTTACACTTCTTATTTAAGTTCACTCAGAGTTGTAGAAATGTGTGTATTTAGTCTTAAACTAAGCCACTATCTTTTGAAGAAACATGGAATCTACAGCGCAGAAGGAGGCCATTCGGCCCATCGAGTCTACACCAATTCACAGAGCAAGGATATCGCTTCAACCCCAACAGCCACCTCTTCAAGCACCTCTCTATCATATAGCTGTCTACTTCCCTCTTGAAAGCTACGACAGATGCTGCCTCCACCACCCTAATAAGCAGGGTGTTCCACATATCAACTACTCTCTGGGTGAAACAATTCAACAACAACAACAAACAAATTGTAATTATACAAAACTTTTCATGTCAGGAGCACATCCCAAGGTGCTGGATAGTGAAGGATTTGCACCCGAGCTGAGGGTTAGGATCAGAGAGGGGTGGAGGGCAAGGGGGGAAGTAGGGAGGGGTAGGAGGATGACGGAAGGCATGGTCCAAGCGGAGGATCATGAGACAGGCCTTGAAGGAGGCAAGGGAGGAATTGAGGTGGTGTTCCAGAGGGTGGGGGCAGAAAGGCTGATGGCCTGACCGCTGATGGTGGGGCGGGGGGGACACAAAGCAGGTCAGTGCCCGCCAAGCGGAGGGAGCAGACGGGTTGGTAGTGTTTTGGAATGTCACAGAGCTCGGTTGGGGAACCATCACAGAACATCAACAATTTGTAATTTACAGGGTCCTTCACATAGAGCAGGGCGGTCCAACCTTCTGGCTGCCGAGGACCAGAATCCCTATTTGAGAAATATCCATGGGCCGCATAAGCAATATTTTTGTGTTTCCCTTTCAGAAACATAACATTTATGGGTTACGGAGGGAACGGATGGGCCAGATGAAATGAAGGGCGGGGTGGGGGGGGGTCCTGAGGAAATTAGTCACCAGTTGAAACACCCGGACGCAGAGGAACATCTCAAAACGCTTCACAGAGAAGGGCAAGATGTGATCGTGGAGTCCTGTAGCTCAGTGGTTAGAGCACTCGCTTTGCAAGCGAGAGACCTGAGTTCAATTCCAGGCACAGGGCGAAACCTTGGGCAAGTTTCCTTACTCCACACGCCTAATAATAATCCCTCCAAAACCAAAAACAATAATAAATTGGTCATTTTCAATCTACGACTGTCTGTGGGACATTGCTGTGCGCAATTGGCTGCCGCGTTCGCCCACAAATATACAGTCAATTCTCTTTACAGTGTGTTCTGTGAAGCGCTTTGGGATGTCCTCCCGAAGTGAAAAGCGCTATATCAAATACAAGGATTATTATTATTATGAGAGGGCGGGAGAGTAGAAAGATGACCACATTGAAGCCAAGAGGTTTAGAGAAAAGTCTTGCAAAGGGCGGGGGCGTAAAGGTGGAAGGTTCGGCCGCCGATGGTGGGGCAGAGGAGGTGGAAGGAAAGAGCACAAATTAATATCATTGTAAGTTTTGACAGGAGAGTGGGACTGTGTGATCAGCAGGTGTCAGCAAGCACAGTCAGGGTCCTCTTGCTCCTATATTCCAGCTGTTTATTTTAATACATCAGGCATCACATTTGGCAAATATTTTGATCGTCAAATCGTTTCTTTCCCCCCAAGCCCCAAAATCCATCCCCTCGCCAATGTGTTTTGTCTCGTTAATTGGATTTCTGCAGCAATTCAGCCTCCTTAAGCCTGTGACTTGTGCTAAGTGCAAACCACCTGTGGTACTATTAGTTACTGTGAAACATGGAAGACAGCCAGCAGTCCCAAAGTCCCTCATGTTCTTAGGCTTTTATTGTCTTAAAATTTAAGACTTTTGAAAAATGGTCTTAATTTTAGTTTCAATTTGGAAGCTTTTGTTTTGCTTGTGTGCTGCTATTGTTTGGGTGCGGGCAGGGCGAAATCTTAGGCTTGCTCCACAAGCCTGTTTACCCAGCAGTAAGTAGGAACCTGGTTGTCAGTTGATTGCGGATCGCTTTCCGGGGGTAATAGTCCTCCAAAAAATAATAATAATTAGTCACTAACCCACGACTGTTTGTGGGACACTGTTGAGCACGATTGGCTGCCATCTTTTGCCCACAAAGTATACAGTCACTACACTTTACAATATATATTCTCTGAAGCGCTTTGAGACGTCTCAAGGAGCTATATCAAATACAAGGATTACTAATAATAAAGTGGATTGACTATGTATTTTGTTGGTGAAATGCGGCAGCCTATTGCGCACAGTAGTGTCCCATAAACAGTCGTGGATTGACTAACTCAAATTTTTTTTTGTATGGGGGCGGGATGGTAGAGGCGAGAGATTAGTACTCCTGGAAAGTCTACCAATTGACTAACAACCAGCTTCCTACTTACTACTAGGCAAACAGAGGCGTGTGGCGTAAGGAAACATGCCAAAGGTTTCGCCTGCCCGGGAATCGAACCTAGGTCCTATTGCTTGCAAAGGCGAGTGCTATAACAACTAGGCTACAGGCTCCACAAGTTGCCTACCAAGTCAGAAAGCAATCACTTGCTTGAAAACTGCCAGCGAGGTGTTTATTTCATCTGCAAGAGGCTGGCTTACATTAAGGCAGAAAGCCCCTTGCTAATAAGCCAGCCTCTCAGTCTTGCTTAAGGGAGTGATGTGGAAGCAAAGGGCAGGCTGATGTCATACAAAGTGCGTTATTGGTTGTAGGGCTGCACATCCCACACAAACAAATGAGGCCGGCGGTGTTTCAAAGTGAGATTGATATCTCCTTCTGTAGTTCAGAAAAGATATTTTGAATATTGAGAGAGGTGGTTTTTCCTGTGGGAATAGTGTTGAGCTCCCTCCTGCCCTCCAGAGAGTAAATCCCCACTCTAAGCTTCATCAATATTCACTTTCCCTCGCACAGACCCAGCGCAGACCTGGCAGCTGAAATTCTTTATTATATTCCTGGATGGATGGTGGCAAGTTCCCTTTAAGAGTGCCTTAAATGAAACCCCCAGTAAAACAATTTGCAGAGGCTAGCTGCAGTCAAGGCAGCTTGTGCCGAATGACAGAAACTTTCTTTTAAAATTTATGACCGGCTCCTGCCAGCTGACCGTTAACCCCTTGTTCACCGCTCTCCACTGCAGTCTGCAACAAAGGCTGGTTGGATCAAATAACCCCAAATTCCATTCAGTCGTAGCCTTGAGTCCCATAGCGTATTCGTTCCACTTTACATTATATCCCGTGAAGCGCTTTGAGACGTCTCAATGACCTGATAAGACACTGCATCAAATGCAAGGATTATTATTATTGAAATTTTATCTTCGGTGTATTTGCAGGAAACTCCAGTTTTACGGCAACAACTTGCAATTTACAACTTACTCCACGCGGGTTGGGTCTCGAAGCGCTTAGTTTTGAAAACTAAGTTAAATTTGTTTAATTTGGATTCCGTTTTTCTAAGCAGCAGTACATAGTAGGTACAATTCACATTTATAATTATCAACACCTTTGTATTTGATACAGTGCTCTTCACGTCAGGAAGACGTTGCAAGGTGTTTGGCAACATTTTGGGAAGATGACTGAAAGCATGGACAAAGAGGTAAATCTTAATTTTTAAGAACTATGGAAAACCATCTGGATTTAAGTATTTTCCACAATTCTGTGACATCTTCAATCCTGAGACAAAAATGGTGTCATGGACAAAGACTAGGTACAACTTCAGGCAGTATAACATCAAAATATCTCAAACCACATGACAGATAATTGATGTCAAGTGTACCCAGGAGGATATAAATGCGTATTTGTGAGCAATTTTGTACGCAGCAGGGTCCCACACACAGCCATAAAGTGAATGATCAATCCTGTGTAGGGGAATTGTTGAGCAGGACATTGGGAGAAGCTATCTTCTCTTTTCAAATACTGTCAGGGGTTTTCTTTTCATCTCAAATCGGGTCTCAGTTTAAAGTCCCATTCGAAGGGCGGCACCTCCGACAATGCAGCACTCCCCCAGCGCTTCGCTGGATTGTGATCTCAAAGTCCTGACGTGCGGGTGGAGGGGGGGGGGGCTGGTCTTGAACCCACAACTTTCTGACCCAGAGATGAGAGTGCTACTGCCTGAGCCAGGCTGCCGCAGGTTGATGCCACGGCACACAAAGTTACATCTCACCTGCAGCAACCCACAAGAATCAAAGCACCTGATTAATGGGTCATAGGAGAGAGAGACACACTTCAGCTATTGCCCTCAAAAAAATGTTAGGCTTTCTATTCAAAGAAGGAACATCTCGCAGTAATTCTATCAAGTTGTCTCCTGAAGATTCATTCACTGTAGCAGTTGTTCAACTCTGTATAACAGTGTTAGACCTAGTCTAGCTGACATCGGCTATCCTGTGTGTAACTCTCTCCTATTCTTCTGCTATCCGAACAATAATAATAATCCTTGCATTTGATATAGTGAGTTATCACGTCGTTGAGACATCTTAAAGCGCCTCACAGGATATACCGTAAAGTGGATTGATTGTGTATTTTGTGGGTGAAATGCAGCAGCTAATTGCAAACAGGTCATTTGGAGGGTTTATTACCCCCGGAAAGCGATCCGCAAATCGATTAACAACCGGGTTCCTATTTAATGCTAGGTAAACAGAGACGTGTGGAGAAAGGAAACTTGCCTAAGGTTTCGCCCTGCCCAGGAGTCGAACCTGGGCCCTAACCACTACGCTATGGGACTCCACATCCTGTGTGTAACTCTCTCTCTTAGACAACTGCTATCTTGAATGTAACTCTCTCCCACTCATACAGACCTTTCAGTGACTCACTAATATGTGAAGCACCCACAGTTATATGAACCTTGTACACTATATTGCTGTAAAATGAGATGTTGTGTTAACATGCTCTTCACAGTGGTTTAAACACACCCAGATTTACTGCTGAAAGAAATATGTAAATAGCTTGCAAAAAACAGGATTAATTTCACCCCAATTTATTTGGAACCAAAATGAATGGAACCAAATAGAGAGGTGACGGCTGCTGACCTATAAGTGACATGTGTGAAAGTCCATCATTATAAAGTGCTTGTGTGACGGGCCTTTTATGGGGACCAGGAAAGGGGGGTGATGGGGGGGGGGGGGGGGGGGGGGTTGCGGTGGGGGAGAGAAAGAGGCATTATCTGTTTCACTAGAGGCTTCAAGAGGGAAATTCCAGTATCATATTCCAAACCACCCCCCCCCCACCCCCTTTCACAGGGTGTTTCATCCAACAAACTGGTTTGCCCCCAAAATGAAATATATCTTTATAATATATCCTGTGAAACACTTTGGGATGTCAACCTAATGTGAAAGACACTGGGTAGTAATAATAATAATCCTTGCATTTGATTTAGCGCTTTATCATGTCGTCGCGAGGTCTCAAATCACTTTAGCGAATATACTTTAGAGTGGATTGGTTGTGTATTTTCTGAGTGAAATGTGGATCAAGTGTAAGGATTATTATTATTTTTATTATTATATCCTGTGAAGGGTTTTGAAACAACGTGATAATGCGCTGTACAAAATGCAAAGATTATTATTATATTCTGTACCCTTTAAAGGCTCAGTACATGTAATAATGCTTCTGAGGTCTGTGTTTAAAAGAGAATTAGATAAGGGATACTTACATACCTGAGGGAGAGAGAGAATCGAGAGGATTAGGAGGGGTGGAGTGTAAACAGTGGCAAGGACTCATTGGGCCTATTTTCTTGCTGTGTAATTTAATGTAATAATGTGCAAATATTTGAAGAATAAGTATATAAAGATATTAATGAATGTATCCTTTATCTAATTCCCTTTTGAACACAGACACAATATTATATGTACTGAGCCTCTAAAGGGTACATAATATAATAATAATCCTTGCATTTGGTGAAGCACCTTATCACGTTGTTGAGGCATCTCAAAACACTTCACAGGATATCATAATAATATGGGAGTGTCAGCCTGTGTGCCAGCCTGGCGCAGTGAGTCAGGAGGTTGTGGGTTCAAGCCCCCCGTTGGGACTTGGAATCAAATAGTCTAAGTTGACACTCCAGTAAGGGAGAGGGGGAGCTAGCAAGCATGGCACAGGTATGATGGGCTAAATGGACTACTTTGCACCCAAAGAAAGAACCACCATCACAGGCTAGCCTGAAACACATCCTCTGTGATCGGGTTCAGTTGGTGGGCAGACCTGATAACAAGCATGGCCCTGGAATTTGGACTGATACATTTGTCTTCTGGTCGAAATGCCTGTGTAAAAGCACATTGTGAAACAACACGGCAGACGGAGTGAGAATGGTGTATTCATGCGCTGGGCAAAACCCCAGCTTGGAAAATAAAATAACATTTCCATCTTGTAGCTTCCAGACACAGCTCAAAGACCTCAAGGCAGAAGAAATTCCGTTTCACAGCGTGTCTGTGTGTCTGTGTTTGGTTTAGTGTGTGTGGTGTGAGTGTCTGTGAGTACATACAATTTGTGTGCGTGAGTGTGTGTATTGGTGTAAAATGAGATGTTGCGTTTAACATACTGTTCATAGTTGTTTAAACACACCTAGATTTTACTTGTTTAAACAACTCAAGTGTGTGCCAATCTGTGAATATGTGCATTTTGTGTGTGTAAGAAAGTTTGTGTTGGAATGTGTTTAGAATATATGAACCCAAGCACTTTGAGACGTCCTCCCTCCTGACGTGAAAGGCTCTATATAAATGTAACTTGGATTGTATATGTGTTAATGTGCTTGAGTTAGTTCTCCTGTATACGTGCATATGTTGCAGTCTGTGACTGCGCAAGTTTGGTGTGTGAAAGTGTATTTATGCGTACATATTTGTGTATGCGTGTATACACGTTTGCATATGTGCGTAAGTTGGTATGTGTTTGTGTGTGCCTGTATACGTTCAGGTAAGTGTGAGTACGTGTTTCTGTATGTGTTTGGATATATGTAAGTGTGTGAATGTATGCACACATTTGGGTGTGTAAGTGTATGCATATGTGTGTGTATGTGGGCGTATTTATGTGTGCGCGCATATTTGACAAGAGAGAGAGGCTATTATCTGCAGCACCAAGGGTGATAGATAGGGTAGCAGTAGATAGGGTAACAGAATCACAATCAAACATCTTATTGAGGTGTATTTTGGGGCAATGACGGCAGGGTCAAACCTCAATATTAAATAAAAGTGACTGAAAATGCAGTTCCAAGTCCACGCTTTTTTGGAAGTTGTGTTTGTAATGTCAAAACCCCCATATTTATTAGGTATAACTATTGGTAAATCCTCATTTTGTTAAAAAGACTAGATTTAAATATATTTGTCAAGGAAAAGGTGTGTGTTTTAATAATAATAATAATCATTCTTGAATTTGATACAGCACCATATAACGTTGTCGAGACGTCTCAAAGCGCTTCACAGTATATTCTGTAAAGTGGATTGACTTGTGTATTTTGTGGGCAAAATAAAGGGTATTTTACACAGTAATAACAGATATAAATGTGAATTCAGTTACTGTAATGTGTTGTACAGTTCCACTGCTGATGGTAAGTTCACTAGTGCTTTTACGCTATTGTGTTTCTGCTGCTCAAAGCGCATCAACTTTTGTTACTGGAAGGTGTTTAGAGACTGTTCTGTCTCATAGCAAATCAATTACCTTTCGCTAATAAAAAGAGCATTTTATTATTAATGGTAATGGGTGCTGACCTCTCTTTGCTAGGCAATGTCCCAATCTGAGGGTCTGGGCATGTCCAGTGTGCGACTTAATGACAATGACATTACACACTGACTGAGCATTGTATCGCTTTTGTCTTCATTCACGTTGAAATGAAGTTCTCCTGGCTGCCTTATCAATCACTGGGGCTCCAGCTGTTAGCTAGACTTTGCTTGGCTTCAACAACCACGCTTACAAATTGTCTCTGAATAGTGAGGAACAAACGGTTTGTCATTGTCTCGCAATTTTTTTTATTTCCCGTACCCCCTTCGCATACGATCTCTCTCTCGCTCTACCTTCTAACACAGTTTTATTAAGAGAGAGTGAGAATATTCACATTCTCTCCCTCTCTCACACACATACATGCACGCACACACAGGGTGCTTGGTGTGTTTGTGCGTGTGTGTGTGTAGGGGTGCAACCTGCGTCTCCAAAAAAGCAGCCAAATGCAATTACATGCATTGTTTTGCAAATTACAATAAAATCATTACAAGTTGGGAGATTTCGCTAGATTGTGCATAAAAGGGAAAATTGCAATCTTTAAAAACTGACAGGCCGTTAGATGACCTCACTGAAGAGAAGCAATATGAATAGAGAACATATAATCTGTACTTATATATATTTTTTTATATAGTGGTGGGTGGTTGGGGTGTGTGTGGCAGGGGTGGGGGGTTAGGGCGCAGTGGAAGGCCATAAGTGGATGTGAATAATACCCTTGTTTTTGCACAGTTACCATTTTGGATGGGGATTGTGAGTTGGGGAGGGGATGGGTGGTGTGTGTGTTGAGGGGGCGGGTGAATGGTGTTGGATGGGTGGTAGTGTAGAAGCGGTTTGCTGCATCAGGGGAAAAAAGAAGTGGTATTGGGGGTGGAAAAATGGAATTGT